CCTCCCCTTGCTGACTGTACATTGGACACAGGGCAGCCTCCCCTTGCCGACTGTACAAACACACAGCAGTCTCCCCTGGCCAACTGTACAAACACACAGAGCAAAGCAATATCCCCTGGCTGATTGTACATTGAAAACACAGAGCAGTCTCCCCTTGCCGACTGTACAAACACACAGGGCAGTCTCCCCTCGCCCGACTGTACAAACACACAGGGCAGTCTCCCCTCACCGACTGTACAATACACACAGAGCAGTCTCCCCTCGCCAACTGTACAATACACACAGAGCAGTCTCCCCTCGCCGACTGTACAATACACACAGAGCAGTCTCCCCTCACCGACTGTACAATACACACAGGGCAGTCTCCCCTCGCCGACTGTACAATACACACAGGGCAGTCTCCCCTCGCCGACTGTACAAACACACAGGGCAGTCTCCCCTCGCCCGACTGTACATCTTGAACTGCTTGCCTAACCTATCTGCTTCCCTCAATCCCATCTCATTCAATGCTACTTTGCTATTACATCCCTGTACCCGATGAGCTCCTCAAACCCCTCAATCCCCGCTCTCCCCCCGCATCCCCCTCCCCAACCACCGACACACTACAGTCCGACACTTTCCCCACCAGACTGCCCCTCATTCCCCCGCTGTCCCCCCGCACCCCCATGCCCCGGACCTACCTGTCCCGAGGTGGAACACACGCAGACGGTCGCTGTGGTACCCGATGGCCAGCCTTGCCCCACTCCGACTGACAGACAGGCACAGGGCCGGCAGGGGCTCGCCTGTCCCATACTCCCCACGGGCCCGCCCCAGCGTGCCGGACCAGATCCGAACCTGCGGGAACAATGGCACGGCTCGGCGCTTCCGTCGGCTTGTTCCCACACATTCCCGGTAACCACCCCCCGTTCCTTCCCTCCGCATCCTCCACCCACCCCTCGCGGTCCTCACCTTCCAGTTTTGGGGGTGGGGGGGGTAGTGTCCGTTCACTCCGTTGGCCGGACGCTGTGAGGCCGAGAGCGTTTGGGGGTGTGGGGGTCGATTCCACCTGAGGGGAGGTGACCCTCAGATAACACTCGCTGCCGGTCGCCTCTCTCTCTCCCTCGAATGAGGCTGTAGCCCGGGGGTGTCCCTCTGGCGAGTCGACCCTTTTACAGGGCCTTTTGATGAGCCTCCATTTCAGCATCAACTGCCCTCGAGCCATATCAATGGCACAGAGGGAGATCAGCGGCTGCTGCACATTTGTGGGATCTTGCTGTGTAAGTGAGTGTGTGCGCGCATGTGTGAGTGAGATTGAGTGCGTCAGCGCGAGAGAGAGACAGCGCGCGCGCGAGCCAGAGAGAGAGACAGCGCGCGCGCGCGAGCCACAGAGAGAGAGAGAGAGCGCGCGCGCGAGACGGAGAGAGAGAGAGAGTGCGCGAGCGTGAGAGAGTGAAG